ATTCATTTTACAATCAAATACAGGTACTTAAAGAACTTCAACGCTGATAAATTTCTAGATGATCTGTCAAAACAACCATGGTCCCTTATTGATATGTTTAATGATCCAGATGACGCTTAAGACACTTTTAATAAATTATTTTTAGAAACTCTCAATATACATGCTCCATACAAGCAAAACGAGTTAAGCATAAAAATCAAGCTGATTGGTTCAACGAGGATATAGCTAATGCAATACATAACAGGGACTATGCAAAAAAGAAAAATAATGTTGATGACTTCAAATATTGGAAATTAAAAGTGAAAAAAACTTATTCATACAGCAAAAAAGATTTCTTTCATTATGAATATAAACTCAAATAAGAAAAATCCTAAAAACTTTGGAAAAACTTGAAAAACCTATCAGGCAAAACAAATGTTCAACAAAATTCTTACATAAATGATGAGAATGGTTAACCGATAACTGATCCAAAATTAACAGCAGAAACCTTTAATACTTTCTTTGCAAGTGTATTTGAAAAAGCTGAAAATGTATCAGAAGGATTATCGTATGAATTGAAAACTGCTTTACAAGAATCGGTTAAATCCAAAATTTCAAATCAGTCAAATAAATATGAAATACCCTTTGTTGACTTAAGCTATGTAAATCAGAAAAAAATCCTAAAAACAGCAGCTGATGTCATAAGTAAACCTCTGTGTAGTATTATAAATCTAAGCATAAAAAGTGGAAAATTTCCAACTCAGCTAAAACAGTCAAAGGTAACACCAATTTACAAAAAAAGGACCAAATGGAGACAAAAATAATTACAGACTAATTTCAGTACTTCCCCTTATCTCTAAAATAATTGAAAAACATGTATTAGACCAATTAAAGCTCTATTTAGAAACAAACCATTTAACTTTACACACCAATCTGGTTTCAGGGCACATCATTCATGTGAGACAGCTCTTACAAATACAATTGATAATTGGATCAGTGCTCTGAATGACGGCAAACTTGTCGGAACTGTTTTTCTAGACATATCAAAAGCCTTTGATTTAGTAAACCACCAAATTCTTCTAGAAAAACTACCTTTCTATAATTTCTCTTCACATGCTATAGATTGGATAAGATCTTATCTATCAGACAGGTCACAAAAAGTTAATGTGTCTGGTGTTTTATCTGAACCAGCTGAAGTTGTCTCAGGAGTGCCTCAGGGCTCAGTCCTTGGGCCCCTACTATTTTTGATATACATAAATGACATCCATCTTCATGTTAAACAGGCAACTACCGATATGTTTGCAGATGACACTTCCCTTACTTCTACTGGAAGTACTTTAACGGAAATGAATTATAATCTTCAAACTGATCTTGATAGTGTTAGCACATGGTGTAGGCAAAATGCAATGATATTAAATGCACTAAGGCCATAAATTTCTCTTTACAAAATACTAAATAAAAAAATACTGCTTCATCTACTCTGCACCTTCAAAACAAAGAGATAGAATTTTCAGACACTGAAAAACTGCTAGGAGTCCAGGTTGACAAAAATCTTAAATGGAAAACACAAATTCAAAATATTATTAAAAAATGCAATTCACAGCTCTATTTGCTTCTTAGAATCAAACAGTACCTTGATCTCCACTCCAGAAAACTCTTTTTTAATGCTTATATTTTGCCACATATTGACTACTGTTGCACTATTTGGGGAAACTGCAGTAGTGAATTACTTTCGCAAATTGTGAACTTTCAAAAAAGAGCTGCAAGAATTATTTTAGACAAAAGTTTTGATACCCCATCAAATATTCTATTTAAAGAATTAAATTGGATGTCCTTTGATCAAAGAATTATGTACAAAAAGGCAATCCTCATGTATAAATCTATAAATGAACCATCCTTTCCTATTTATATGAAAAATAAATTCCAAACAATAAATGACAAACATGACTTTAACTTAAGATCTATACAAAATGAAAAACTAACTGTACCCAAACCAAAAACAGAATTTTTTAGAAAATCATTTAATTACTCTGGTCCTGTGGTATGGAACAGCATACCAATCCATATTCGAAATTCTGATACCCTGAGGAAATTTCAATCCTCCTATATCCAGTGGCAATTTTCTAACTAATTGTTTGTACATATTGTTTCAAAAACATATACTTTCCATGCTGAAGTTATGAAAATGTCACTTCTCTCTGTAAGAAGAAAAAATTGTTTACTTATTTATTGTATTGATATGATGTTTAATGTACATATTATGTTGTCTAAATGTTGATTGTGATTGTATTTTATGTTGTTTTGTATATACTGAGGCCCGCATGGAAGATAGGGAAACTGAATGTGTTAGCCTCATAAAATAAAGTCGTTACTTACTTACTTACTTACTTACTTACTTACTATATAATATACACATTTTTTTCACATTTTATTTTTTAATTTCAATATAACATTTGTGTAATATAAGAATGAACAATTTTATTTTTGTTTGTATGAATTTGTATTGTTATTATACTATTCTGTATTGTATGTCTTTGCCATACTTCATGTGTTTTCTTTGTAAATGGCCAAAGGCAATTGATTTGCTGATGATGCTGATAAATTTGAAACTTGAAACTTTATTAGCAATGCAGGCCTCGACATTAGCGGTGGTCCATTGGTCCGAGACCACCTGATTTTGGCAAGGACCACCTAATTTTACAGGCAACTGGTCCGTTAGACCACTTGAATTTTCCAAATGGTGCAGGGCCATCTGGGAGAATGGTTATTTGGTCGAAAAACGTGTTCTATAATTGTTGTTTAAAACCATTTCTCCGATGTACAGGTATATGTTCATTCATCTCATTAGTTCAAAAAGATCTTAAAACATCAATAACTTTTTATTAACTCGCTAACAGTGTAATTAAAAAAGTAGAAAATTATTTTTGTAAATTAAAATATAAAATTCATTCAAATGTCTCTAGTACTGCATTGAATTTGTAACATTGTATCACACATGAATAATGAATAATAAAGGGAAAATTAAATATCTAGTAATCTTTGGCTACTTTTTAAACGATCAGAGATCCATTTTTTCTTATTTAAAGTACTTTAAAGGGTTATAAATACTTTGTCAAAAATAAATAAATTTCAACAAACAATGTATAATAAATCTGTGAGGAAGATAAGCTCAATTATAATGTAGGAATTTTTCTGTTTATCGTTAATAGTTCATTGTTTCAAAGACAAGAATATAATAACTTAATAGTTTAATTAGAAATGGTAATCTATAAAAAGCAATTATTATTCTTATAAGATGTACCAGGAAACAGCAATGAGTATTTGAATAACAGTAAGGAAATAAGTCATTCACAAATGGTTTCACTATTCCCTAACTTGAGTTGCGGAAGAAGTCACTTAACCAAAGTATGAGTACTGTCATGTATTTTTCAATGAGATAATAAATACTAAATAGGATTACAATGACTTACTATCTGATTAGATTGAAATAAAAAATACATTTTTTCTTCAGTTGTTATAAATCTAATAATAAATGTGTCTCTGTCACCAATTTTAAGTGTAGTTCTTCTCAATCTGAAGTTTCCTTAAAACAAATGAGTAAAAAAAAGATGGACCACCTGTGTTCAGAAAGGACCACCTGAATTTTGAATCCAGTGGTCCGGCATACCACCTGCTGAAAAAGTTAGTGTCGAGACCTGCAATGCATGTACATCTTGCATGTGCAATATGCAAAAAAGGTGTTACAAACTGTACACAAAAAACTTAATCCTAATCCCTGAAGAACAAAACAGATTATTTATCGATGTTTTGATTGCAAAAAGGTGTTACAAACTGTAACTCCTTATTGATGAGTTGTTCACACATTATTTTGAGTTTCTGCTGATGCACAATTGTTTGTTTTTTAACATGTTTACAAGAAAGTTTTGTCCACTCAATAAAACTGAAGTGGTGGGGTTTTGTCCACTCTGTAAAATTTAGTGGTGGGGTTTTGTCCACTCTATGAAATGTAGTGGTGGGGTTTTGTCCACTCTATAAAATTTTGAGTGGTGGGGTTTTAACTGGTGGGGTTTTGTCCTACATTCTCCTAAGTCACAATACAAAAAAAATTAACAAAATATAAGAGAACTATAATAGGGCCTATTTTGCAACACATTGTTTCTGACTAGAAGGAATTCATGTTTCTGTTAAAAACAACACAAAAATATAAATGCAGATATACATCTTTACCTTACATAAAATGACTAGGTAATACTGTAACAACTTTCTACAAAAACGACTTGGATTGCAGCACATCACAACCATATTCACATATTTGAAAAACACAATAGCAATAAACAACCTTTTAATAACCTGCAGTTTTTAAATTGAAATAAAGATATGCAAATAAGTCTTTCCAGACTATTAGCTATCGCTAAATGTTTAATAGATTCATACACAACTGACAACAAAAACAATACAGTAAATAAAAGTTAAAACAAAAGTAAATGAAAATGTACATGTATTATGCAAACATGTAAAACACATCATTAAATATGTAAAATCACAGAACTAAGGCTATTTAGTTTAACAATTATGCATGGTTAGAAAACAACAAATTTATGTAAATGACTAGAGTATTTGAATAATATATTACTGATAATAAAATAATATGATTGAGGTACAGTAAAAATCATATAAGATTTATGCATGAATTCAATATTGATAACCATACACAATGAAATAATATTAACTGTAAAATAGATTATACACAACAAAAACATTAAATGTCTATCCTACAAAAGTTAATTAACAAAGGAGAACACAAATACTGAAACAATACCAATTAACAAATAAAGCTTTGTTTTGAGATCTAGCATTATAACAAAAATCATATAACAAAAAATGCACATACATATGTGAATTGATATGTGTAGACTGATCAACTTGTTTTTATATAGCCAAAAAATGTACAATACTAGAAGAGTATTCTGCTAGAAAAAAAACAAAAAAGGTGATAGCAAATGAAAGTTGAAAATTTTGAAAATCATAAACAGCATTTAGACAAGCAGTTTCAAAAAAAAAATAAGGAAAATATGGAATTTTCTATGTGTCAAATCAGGATTAATCCTGAAAACTTTCACCCATGGATGATGGTCTTTTGCGCTTCTTACGCCCCCGTCCCTGTCACTCGCAATCCTAAACCATTCTCTGCAACCAAGTTCCACCTCGACTGCTGTGCACTTCTTGCACTTCATAACTGCTTCTGAAATAAAAATGAGAGCAAATAAAACAATGAGTTAATCATTTAACGCATGCCTCCACGTTTTTATGGGGTGGGCAGGGTGCTACGCATCATGTCTGCATTCTAACACAATTTTTTAATACTATAATATGCCTATTGAATTACTTAAATTTTCCGCAGTGATAAATTACAAACTTCTATTCTACATTAAAAACTTACAGTTTTATATATGTACTATCTAGAGTCTGTGTAAGGTCTGTCCCACTGTATGCGACTTAAGTACTGTTATAAACACATGTTCTACTAATTGACCATTTAATCAAGGAGCATTTGCTTACTTGTCACTGCCTGGGCCAGCTTGAGTTTTCCAAAGGCTCTTTTGCCCTTCTTTCCAAACCAGTTGAACTCGACTGCCAACTGGTTTGTCAAGCATTGCCTCATTACCCGCCTCACCATGTCTGCCTTAGAGACCCCGCCTTGCACTGATAGATACGAAACCTGCAATAAAATTTCCAACAAAATATTTAATCGATAGCAATTTATCATTTATTCACTCTAGCCATATTTAACATTTTTAACTCAAAAAAATCGAGTTTTTTCTTAAATTTAGTCTTAGTATTGGACTTTGGTGATTGCATACTTTGTAAGTAACAAACATCCTTCATCATATATAAGCAGGAATTAAACTCAGTGTCTTAGATTTAAGCTTTTATTTTGAAAAGATATAAAAATATGTCCTTTATACCAGTTCTTATTAAAAGTGCTGTACAGCATGTATGGAAACTTACTTAAAGTTGTATTTGAAAGGATATCTTTTATTAACAAAATAAATGTCACAAGAAAAAAACTTTTTTATAGTTTGAATCGAGGCAATATCAATCATCGAGCACTCTGACTATAGAAAAGCAAAAACTATGATTTATGTACACAAATACACTTCTTCAACACAGCTAAGAAACATGCATCAATAGCTACTGAATATCTGCTAATCTGGATTCCTTTAGTCCTTTAAAATAATAACTCACCAAGCCATTAAAACATTCTCCCTCCTCTAGTTCCGCCTCAAGGGCCTCTAGCTCCTCGCTGGTGGATGCAGGTAAGTTGAGGTTTTCGGGTTTCTCTGACGACCTTACACCCCCCACCGTGGCCATCTTCGAAACAATGCCCAGCACCTGGTTCATGGTTTCCAGGAGCTCAACCTGACGTCTGGACATGGCTTCCATTAGTGTAAACATTCTGATATCCCGGGCTAAAAAGTAAAAAATGTAAGACACTGAATAGCATACACATTTGATAGCACCATAATAAGGATTAGTTTATCTAAATAGTTTACACAAATATTTTTTTAGATTAGCTAGTTTTCAACAGTATTTCAGTTATTAAGGATGTAAACAATCTTATAATGAAAATAATATAAAATATTTGTCATTATTCACTGAAATTTGATAATGGAATTAATATTAAAATATTTGTCATTATATATTCACTGCGTATTAGAGTTTTACATTTTCAAGAAACTAAAAATTATACCTTCATCATATCTTTTACTTATGGACCAGTATATATTTTATTAATAAATAACTCTTCATGGGAAAAGTGAAATTCTTAGCAATATATAGTCTTGGTACATGGTGTTTCTGTAATATCGACCAGCAAACAAATAGTATAAACAGCTTGTTTAAGTTTTCAGCATAAGAAAATACACATACCCACTTCAGAACGTGGAGTCCCGGTAACACTGGTACTGGTAGCTGACGCGCAGTCTCTCACAGAAGGGGTACTCGTACTCCTGGCAGGCGTTGTACTTGTATGTACAGTGGCAGGAACAGGTTACTGGGAGTGGGACCTAGCCAGACTTGTTTCAAAGCAGCCAGCCTTCAATGGGGATGGCCTCTGTGGAATGCTGCACATGTTATTCTGACACGGGGATGATGGGGATATTGGCACCTCTGGCTCATCCTCAGATGACGAGTACAGTCGTGCAGGAAGCCTGAATTATTAATAAATGCCAATCTATAAGTTATTTATTCATGTGTCAAAAACAAAGTAAAGTCTGAAATATATTTTTATTATTTTTAACATTTACTTTTAACAATTACAGCATCCTCAGTCTTCACACTAATACATAAAGCCTGAAGCATGGGGCTTATCAAATCACATTATAAGAAGTTCGAAAGAACATTATTCAAATGATTTTTAAAAAACTGAAAGTGAATAAAAAACAGATTGCATGCTACAATGCCATATAATGGAACATACTGTTTTCGGCGTTTGGGTCGCCTGCTGTCCTCTTCCGAGTCACTGTTTGGGCTTTGTGTCGCCAAATCTGACTCCATTTCTGATCTTTTTAAATTCTCTCTCATACTGCTGCAAGACACTGTAAAAGATTTGTAAAACATTTAATGCTTAATCGTTAATTGCTACAACTTATTTTATTTATTTAAACTGTTTCCAATTTTAAAATGCCTATTTTTTTACTTTTGCTCTACAGCAACAGTAAATACAACAGACTTATGGTCATTTTTACTATCATACTGTGTGTTACATTTTGGGCATTTATTGTCACTTAACTTTTTGTTGTAACATGGCTCCCGGGTACAAGATGAATATACATTGATACTACTAATAGCTACAACATCTCCTTCCTCTTCATATCTCATGCTACCCTTTACAGACGGTAAAGCATCACGAGCCAGGAACTGGAAAAGAAAAGCAATGCATCAAGTGCATATATAAATAACACATGGGTTTGTGGGTAACAGTAAAAATATCATCCCGAGGAAAATACTATAGTATTTTACGAGGGATGATATTTTTACTGTTACTCACAAACCCATGTGTTATTTAATTTATTACCCCGAACATAAATACTGTGATGATCTGAAATTGTCAACTAAATCTAACTGTAACAAAAATAAACCAAGAGTAACAATAACTAAACTGTCCTTACCTTTTAAGTTTCAAGTGTACTTTAGGCCTCATTGATAAGTTTTCTTTTTCTTTTATTCTTTAAGCAAGTGATGATATCTACAAATCATAAACATACAATAAGGTAGGTTTTATTTAGTAAACAAAACGCTAACCCATTTACATGGTTATGATCTGTGAAATCTGATCCTTCTGTTTCCAGAATATTCTTAGCATGTTTTTTGGCCATGGCATGTCATGGCCATTCTTTTCCTGTTAATATTTGTGCATTAAATATTTCTTCCATAGTTACATTAGATTTAAACCACTTGGAAATTTTGTTTTTTTAATTTCTTTAACCATACTTCTATTCGTAATCTGACGTTTCTTTCGGTTGTTTGTATTATTATAACGTCAAAATCATTGTGTCCATTGTTATAAAAATGGTGCGAAACAGGCTTGACGTTGTTTTTACTTCTAATATCGCCTATGTGGCAGTAGTATTGATCTGTTGGTTAATTGCAGGTTTGTTTTACATACTGTAATTTACGTTGTTTGCATGTTGTTAAATAAATTAAGCTTACTGTTTTTTTTATAAGAGTTAAACAGGCCTATATTTAAACAAGTAACAGTTTATCTAACCAGCAAGCTCTGTCATGTACTTCTCTGGTAGACCTATGACTTGGTTACTAAATTATGACCCAATCGTTGTCTCACGCACTGATAAATGTCATTTCATCATTTGACAGTTTGTGTCCAAGAAATGCGTTTTTTTCTTCAGTGAAAATTGGAGACAATCTATATTTTGCGGCATTATACATTTTATTTTAATTTACCCGAACATTAAATGAAAAGTTGACTTTTATAGATATGAGTCCTTTTTTATTCACTTGCCAATATGTGCGAGTAGCTTTAATTGTTACTCGCTATTCAGAAATTCCACAAGCTATTAGCCAGTATGCATGCCTACATTCGAACTCTGTGTTTTGGGATCTTGGCATGCTAATGTTGTTCTTTGCTATTGTTCAATTCACTTTCAACTTTTGCTATAAATTTTGGTCCAGTAGTAACAGAACTAATCATCACAGAGGTCACATTCAGGCAATATCCCGTATTAGTCCCCGAGGGGGGATTCATATTATTGTCTTAAAAAAGTATTTATTTAAATGTATTGGTGTACATCGGGCAATATTTTGATCCGTGTCAATAAGACGCTTGAAAAAATTTTACTTACACATGATGCCTTACTGCTCATTTGCATACTGTAGTAAACATCCTATATACATCATTTGCATGTGCTTCCTGTCTTATTAAAGACACTATAAATATCTAAACAAAGTCATCATGATCTGATGACCACATGAAATTACTTTTCGTGTAAGGATTCTGTTCGCTCTTCTGGATCGTCAGCTTTGAATTAGCGAAAAAAGTATTATGTCTGACGGAGGTCCGTTTCATGATTGCGGTTCTTGGTACATCGTAGAGCAAAAGCATATAATGATGAAGAGTAATTTCCTGCCCCGCATAACGTGAAAAGCGCTCGAATGTGGTTTTTAGCAGATCTATCTCTTGCTAAATTCATTAGCTCAACCCACTCTAAAAACACTTCAGGATTTAATCCATTGACATTTGCAAAAGCGCAAGTTATTTTTCTATCAAAATGTTTTAATGACAGTTTTCCAAAAATTTCTTCAAATTTTATGAGGCCATGTATCAGCAGGACCTATTATTTCTTGAATTTCCATCCATAACCTGTACACTTTTTGGTTTCTAGTGGCCATATTACAATGAATGAAAACCATGTGCTATCATTGTATTTAAATTATACAATTCTATAAAGTTACAAAGGTGTATGAAGTTGACAAAGCACGAGAATTGAATAATTAACCAAGACTTACCTTAGTAAGGTGAAGGTTGATTGTAATTTCATCGACTGCAATCTCCTTTAATGGGCCCCACAGAGAAGACGCAGCTACCGCAGCCAGATCAGTCTTTTGAGTTAACGGATGATAAAATATTGTCACAGAATGTGACAAAAAATTTTATTGCTTTTATCAGAACTTAAATTTTTCATTGGGTGGGAAGGGCAGGGTGTGTGAGCCCTTTAAGGAGATTGCAGTCAATGAAATTACAATCAACCTTCACCTTACTAAGGTAAGTCTCGGTTAATTATTCAATTTCATCTCCTGCATATCTCCTTTAATGGGCCCCACAGAGACTTTAGAGATAGTTTTGATATCAATAAAATAAAATACAACAACATATTTGCTTATTTCTAACTAATATTTCTAAGATCTACTCATTAACATACATTTAAATTTACTGTAATTCCAATGTAAAAATAGCTGTCAATTTGACATTGAATAATTACTTTATGTTTTATATTATAATTCTAATGTAAAAATAATATTCAATTTCTTATAACACTCCAAAAGTCTGTTAAAATCTAAGACACATTTGACATCACCGCTTCCTGAACAGTTTTTGATGGTGTTATATCCTTGTCATAGAAAGTCGCAAATGTTTTTGCATTTGTCCAGCTCACTGTTTTAATAATAGTGTTTAGATCTACCCTGCAACTCTTTGCTTTAGAGGTAGATGCTGAGCGTGTACTGTGTGGACCATATTGTTCCTCTAGCGGCATTTACCATAACAGTTTTGATCCAGCCACTAATTGTGCTACGTGATACCCCTTTGTAAGGGTGTGGATCGTCGGATAAGTGACTGGTTACTCATATTTTCACAGTAATTCATTTTCTAAACAGAGGCAATTGCAAAGCAATCTATATCTTTATAAGTATATTATAAAATCAAATTACAATTCACGGGCATGTCACCCTAATTGTTAATATCCTTGTTATTTTGGCATCAAAATTATCGCCAAACGATCACTGTCTAAACGGTATGAATACTCTTTTCTAGTTTGACATGGGAAATATAGAATGGAATAAAAAAAAAAAAAGTTGAAAGAGGGTAGTTATGTCTCACTTATGATTTCTGCACTGTGATAATATTTTGTATATACATGACTGTATTGTATTGTGAATGCGTGATGTAATTGGATTTTTGTTATAAATCTTGTATTATTTAAATAAATTTTTTATTTTTGTTATCATGCCTCTGAATAAAATCTGGAGAGGATATATTTACTGACTTGTCTGTAAATTACTCCTTTAATTTTCAAAGAACTATATTTCATTTTAAAAAGCAGTATCTTTGAATTTAGAATATTTATACATCTTGCAAGGTCTTCTGCAATCATGTTGTGATGAGTCAAACTTGTCACGAGATCTAAAGTAAAAAGTTTTTGCAACAACCTCATGTAAGAGATGTAAGTTCACTTACGCCTAACATTGCTTTTCCTCATTTTGCGATAAAAAAAAACAGTTATGCAAATATTTTGATCAAAGTAGCATTGGAGGGCATGTTTCGTTGTTGCTGATATTCTAATGTTAGCTTTTGATTTATTTTTACTGCTTCAATTCAAGACAATGCCTTATTAGTCCCCTACCGGTTTAACCGGAGGGGACTTTAGGTTTACCCTCCGTCCGTCTGTCCGTCTGTCTGTCTGTCCGTCCGTCTGTCTGTCTGTCTGTCAGTCCGTCTGTCCACAAAACTGGATCCTGCGATAACGCAAAAAGTACTGAAAATATTTTTATGAAACTTCATATATGGATAGATGGCAGTATGGAGATTATGCACGTCTTTTTTTTTTCTTCCTATGTTGAAAATTCTGGTTGCTATGGCAACAAATAGTCTGAAAATATGGCAAATTTAACACATAAACTGGATCCAGTGATAACTCAAAAAGTACTGAAAATATTTTTATGAAACTTGAAATATGGGTAGATGGCAGTCTGGAGGTTATGCACATCTTTTTCTTTTCTTCTTATGTTGAAAATTCTGGTTGCTATGGCAACAAATAGCCTGAATTTCAAGATTTCTGATTTAAATTTTTCAGATTTTTCACTATATGTTCTTTATTTCTTAAGGTGTTTACTTCAAACTTTAAATATAAGTTTCTGGTCATCAACCACATCATATGTGACAAGGTTTATAACTCTAGCACAAAAAATATCAGTATTACCTCCCTTGAACTTAGATTTTTTAGGGAAAAAAATGTTGTCTTTTTTAAATAACTTCTTTATTTCCTAATGTATCTACTTCAAACTTCATATATATGTTTCTTATTATCACTCGACATTTTTGAGAAGGTTAAATACTCTAGCAAGACTATTTCCAGAATTATGTCCCCCTTGAACTTAGATTTTTTTCTAGAAACTGGTATTTTCACTCCAACTTCTTCATTCCTTATAGGATTTACTTTAAAATCACACATCGTAATAATATGACAAGGTTGTATAAACATAATTTCCTTACTAAGCATGGAAACTTAACACATTACTGTGATATAGACAAACTTATTTTATTATGTTTTGTGGTCGATATTTTCAAATACAGACTTCATCCTCATATTCATTATAAATGGCAATACACAGGAGTGTATGACAATTAAAGAACTTTTTGAGGGACCGGTAGGGGACTACTGTATTGCCCGCAATACTATCAAATGCTTGTTTTAATCTGAAACTGGTCATTTCTAGTAATTTTATTTGAGTATCAGAAGTATTTCATAATTTCGTTAAGTTTAATTAGCTTGCCTGTTTCGAAGATAAAGTCGAGCTATAATGATCTCTGCATCATCACTTGTTGTTGTTGTCATTCAAAAACTTTAATGTAGCCCATTTTTCCAACATTTTAAAACTAGGAATAACTATTATGAT